ATTCCGGAAATTCGGTTAATACGAGGATCCTCAACTGATTCAGGTAAAAATTAAACAAGCTGTGTTAAATTTGTAAAAATCCCCGTTTTCTTGTTATGGTTTTGAATAAGTTAGAAATTAAATAGCAACTATATGTGGTGAATATAAATTTGTATTATTGGCCCAACTAAATAAATAACTGTCAATGGCGTTCAATACAAATTTAACCACACATTTTTTTATAGTTTAACATATTTGTTGCAGAACGAATGGTATTATTCTTATTTAATTCTGTTATCTCATAAAATACTGGTCATAACTAATATTTAAGCGTTAAGCAGTTGCGAATGATCTGATTCTAATTCTTAAAAATATTTATACACAAAACATTAAAACTGGATACGTTTATTACTTGCCAGTAAGTGTCGTGATAACGCACCACACACCACTCTTTCTTCAAATTAATTGTCATGTACAGTATGTGGTGTTTTGATAATGATGGTGGCATAAGAATCACTAGACAAAATCTAGGTAAACCTTTTTAAGTGATTGAAAACAACACAAAGCTGAAACCTTTAATTAATTTTCAAAATACTTTATCCATAAGTTATGGTTACCTATTGATAATTATATACCACTTCTAACGAGAAAATTCAATTTAAGTATACATTAAAAATTAGTTTTCAAAACCTTCTTATGGAATTATTTTTTTATTATAAGAATATTTAGAGTAGGTACTATTCCTATTGTAGATATTGATAATACATTGTAATTTAGCCATAGATACCTACTTGAAAATTATATGTTACTTAGCCAGATTAAACTGACTTACCAAGACATTATTGGTCTACTAGAATATGGTGAGTCCCTATTGATGTTCCTATTACTGGAGATATCCAATAGAGGCTCTGTCTACTGGGAAATAACCATGAAAAGCTTTCTCGTTGGCCAATAATTTGTACCAACCCTTTCTGTTATCCCGGGCGTATGTTCAATCCAGTATTATCTATTAGCTTAGACAGACTCATTTTATTGTTTGAAGGTGTAAGGCATTTGAATATATTTGAGTTACCGGTACTTATATAAAAAAATATTAATTAAAATAAATCACAACAAACGCCTAAACCACTTAAATAGAATAGTGGTGTAAGGAAATTGATCAAGTATAACCCATTTGAGTTTTTAAATATTTAATTACAGTACAGACTTAGAAAATGAAGAAAAGATTTTATTTGTTTAAGTTTTAGCTATTAGTGAGAATAGTTTATTAGACCCATTGGTGTGTACTAATTTAGTAACTGTACACATCAATGGAGTTTTCAGATTAAAATTTTTGTGTTAATGGTACAATATTTTCAAAATAATATGCTTGAAGCAAAACTAGGGGTTTGTTAAATTTCCTTACCAAGATTTAAATGCCACTGATGGAAATCACATAATTTCTGTAGTGCATGATAAACCTAAAGTACCGGTATAACTGGAGTAAAAAGTATTAATAATGGATTTATTTTTGTAATGTAACCTAATTGAAATGGGTAATATTGTTAATCTAATACAAAAACATAACACCTATCAACATTATCGAATGTACTTTCGGAGAGTTAGTATTTAAACGACTACATGAAATCAATCTGTAGCTGACAGCCGATGATGCTGAGCTGAGCTATAAATATCAGCTGTTTGAAAGAAACAGTTTGTTACAAGTTTGCAGTGTGGTTGACAGTAGCGCTAAACAGCTGATTGTAGAAGTCGATTCAACAGTTTTGTATTGACAGGTGTCTGGATTTTTGCCAAATACTGCAATTTCTCTGAAACACTTGTTGAATTGTTTCTACGCCACTTTTAGGGTTTTCTCTTTTAACTTCTCACATCTTTGGAAAAGCAATTATTTTTACTTTGATTAAAAAATAAAACAAAATGGTATACTCTCTCCACATTACAATTTATTTATTGGAAGTATACTACTTTAGTTTACTACTTTTTTTTTTTTTTATTCAAAACTAAGGACTTATTTTGCGTTTAATTGTTTTGGAATGTTTAGTTTTATTGAGAATGCTAAAAGCAATAATATTTTGAACAGTTTGTATTAATTAATTAGTTTTACAGCAATACTTCAGATTTTTGTTTCAAATCTTATTTGTTTTAATATTATGAAATATAAGAAATATTTTACAATTAATTAATTTAAATAATCATTTAAAACTAAAAATACAATATCATATATTTAATATACAGGGTGAGTTTTAATTGTCCCCCCCCCCCCAACTTTTTTCTACATTTTTTCAAATATCAATCCCAGACCACTTCCAAACATTGTTGGGTAGTAAGTACTTCATTTTGACAAGGTGGTCATTTCCGGCCGCCATCTTGGATCCGCCATATTGGATGTAAAGTTTTTTTTTCAAATGTAAAGGTGGGGTTGTGACCCATTATTTCGAACTACATTTTTACCCTGATTACAATGCCGCAAACCGTTTTTAAAAATCTTGATTCATTTTAAAGTTATGAGGGCTTTTTAAAACTTTATTTTTAGCCCATTTTAACATTGTGCATTTACAAACTAAGTCCATAACCTCAAAATAGTGCTAGATAAAGATAAGTATACACTACCAGTAATTGTCGACCTATTTTCACTTGGTTATGACTGATGTATTTTTTTCGACCGCCATCTTGGATCCGCCATTTTGAAATGTGATAAATTATTTTAAATATGAAGGGGGTGTTGTGACCCATCATTTTGAACTAATTTTTTAAGTTAAACTCAATGCCGCAATCCATTTTTTGTTATCAAGTTTTATGGTTTTATGAAATATTGCAATTTTTTTGTTAAAAATGTCAATATTTCAAAATCAAAAAATTAAAATGAAAAACGGATCATGGAATTAAGTTCAGCTTAAAAAAGTAATTCGAAATGATGGGTCACAATACCCCCTTCATATTTAAAATAATTTATCACATTTCAAAATGGCGGATCCAAGATGGCGGTCGAAAAAATACATCAGTCATAACCAAGTGAAAATAGGTCGACAATTACTGGTAGTGTATACTTATCTTTATCTAGCACTATTTTGAGGTTATGGACTTAGTTTGTAAATGCACAATGTTAAAATGGGCTAAAAATAAAGTTTTAAAAAGCCCTCATAACTTTAAAATGGATCAAGATTTTTAAAAACGGTTTGCGGCATTGTAATCAGGGTAAAAATGTAGTTCGCAATAATGGGTCACAACCCCACCTTTACATTCGAAAAAAAAATTTTACATCCAATATGGCGGATCCAAGATGGCGGCCGGAAATGACCACCTTGTCAAAATGAAGTACTTACTACCCAACAATGTTTGGAAGTGGTCTGGGATTGATATTTGAAAAAATGTAGAAAAAAGTTGGGGGGGGGGACAATTAAAACTCACCCTGTATATTTTAAATACATTTACAGACATAGAAATTTCAGTATTTGAGGGATTACTTGCATAGAACCACCTCTTAAACTATAAAAAGTGTGTAGAGATTTTCAATAAAGCTTTGTTAAATTTTTACAATGTTAAAGTTTTAGATTGTAAAACGTGTGTGTGGTGAAAGTTTATGATTTATACCTTATTTCAACTTCTAAGTTAGCACTGAAATTATTCTAAGAAAATACTCAGTATTCCTAGCTTCTGAGACATTTGCCTTGAACACTGTTTGAAACTCCAATTATATATAATAGCTGAACAAGATACTAAGATGGAAAGTCATTACAGTTCCAAACTCTATTTAGTAAAGCTGAGATAAAGTTTTAAATTTGTTTTGTGATCAATCAAATTTGATTTGCGTGGCTCGGTTAGTGCATTAGAGTCTTATTCTAATGAGTATTAGTTATTAAGTACTAGGGGACCGAGCATTACTCGAGGTGTTTTATTTGTTCAAGGGGTTAAAAAAATAAAACCTATAAGCCTATAAGTTGTAAAGTCAATTTGTTTTCGGTAGACATTCACTCATTCTTAATTTACCTAACAAACTTTTTCATGTGGACGAACAATCTATATTGCAAATTTCTAAAATAAACCTTAATATAAAAACTCATTATACATAACATTCTGTTGACCGATATTGCGTTAGTCACTGGGATCGTGAAACGTCGCAACTAACTACGGGATTGTGGAACAACGCATCAATTCCGGCGGGGTATCGTTGGAAATTACAAAACGTCCTTGGCCTTTCCTCTAGACTTTTAGTTCAATATTAGTGCATAATAATTTGCGGTAAAAGAATTAACGATTTTGAACAGTCGTAATTACTCATTTGGTTAGTAATACATCATACACCCGAAATGTATTATATAATCAATGCTCAATAGCATACATAGGAATGTCCTTTTCCTTTGTACTGTATTTTGTAATTTGCTACTGTAGTAGACGATTTGTTACAAGCATTTTATGTCACAGTTCATTTGTTATTGTTTACATCTCCTACAACTGACATAGCTACTTGACAGTCCATAAGAGTAATGTTAAAATATAAAATTTCATTTTAAGTTTTTAACAAAAACTAATTTTTTCAGACCGGAGCCTAGCATGGATATTGTTTGTAGCCTAAAACTAAGATATTTCAAACAATTTGTAGTAAATCATACAGCAGTTTTTGAAATCATTGTGCGCAAACTTACTCATATTATATTATAGATAAATAATTATTATTACTTAATTACTTCGCATTTTTATTGGATTTTGGAATATAGCTAATAGTGCATGGATTTATCACCTTGTATTCTTCTGTGAATCTTGGAACTCCTTTAAGGCTGCACTTTGGTTTACGTCCTACACTCATTCGAATGAAAAATATCGATATATAAATTATTCGATATGTCGATTATTTCATTTGGTTATTTAGGTTAGGTTATAACCTAACTAACCAAAATTGATATATCGAATGAAACAATCGATATATCGATCAATATTCATTCGAATGAGTGTAGGACGTAAACTAAAGCGCAGCCCTCCTTAAACATTAGGATTATTTGTACAAACTGTGATGTTTATTCCAGGACAGTTTGCGATGGGTCGTCGCCTGTCCAGGCTGGCCAGTATCACCGATGACGGAGAAACCTGTAAGCCAGCATGGCTGCGGCTTTTGATGTTCTTGGTGTTATTAGTGTACAGCTTGTTTTTTTTTCAATCAATTACAATCATGTTCAATGAAGATTGCAGACTTCCTAAACAGTAATCATTTTAAGGTTTTAAGTTGAACCATGTCTGGGCGATGTGTAGACGATCCAACATTGACTATTGTATACTGAAGTAGTACTGGTCCATCTATATGGACCAGCTGTCACCAATTTTTTACTAAAAAATCACTTAGTTGCGTGAACCAGTCACAGAATGTGCTATTGTCTAAAATTCTATTTCATACCTTATTTTTTGTTGCTGATCAGGTTGATGAGTCATAACAGTTGCTATAGCTAACCATAAGTCATTCCCTAAGTTTGACTCAGTAAAAAAGTTGGTGTACTCGACTGAATTTAGTAATTTATATCAGCGCAATATGTAGGTGGCTAACATCAACTACGATAATTTTGATAAAGACCTGGCTACAAATTTAACACGGGGATGGAATGTCTAGATGAAAGCTGCTGATGTTCGCAATCTTTCATCTCCCAGACCACACGGTTCAACCCAGAAGTCGTTAGGCCTATAGCATTGTAATTTTTTTATGCATGCTTTATTTTGTTTTCACACAACAGATGTTGATAGCACGTCGTTTTCTAAATGTATATTGTTCTATGTAGTCAAATTGTTGTAGACTTTATTTTCCTCTATGTTTTTATTATTTAATCACAGGTACAATGATTAACTTGTTAATTTAGCTATCATATAAATAAAAACATTCGCAGAATAATACTTTAGATGGACATGTCAAGTATATATAATTCAAACTATATATATTTGTTAAGTTACTTCATTTTCTCAACCATAGTAAAATTAAAACCTATCTGAAATAATAATTTTTTTTTAATATTAGCACCAAAAGTGACGCTTTTCGATAGAATCGACTCAAGTTTAACAACCAGGGACGAGGAAAAAATAGCGAGTTACATTTGGGCCATGTGATGAACCCTTACCTTTTCATATTGCTCACAAAAGCTTACACCTCACCAATATGTGAAATCTGAGCGCTGTTTACCATCAATAGTTGGTTTAAAACAATGATCATATTTCTTTCTATTTTCAAAGGTTAGCTTTTACAGATATACAGAGTGTGTAAAAAAATAACTCAGGCAATTCTCGCTGTAGGTATACATACAGTTTGCTCCATAGTTTTAATATTCTTTAAATTACAAAAACTGTAGGTGTATCAAAAAATGAATTAATTTCTCAGTTATTCCTTATCCAAACTAAGCTTTGTAAGATATCGTTGGAATTTTCTTAAAATTTACTAAATTTGATGATCTTAATTTTGTTTGGTAAAATTAACGGTTTTTGTAAAGTTTGTCATCAAATATTTGAAAAAGCCGCCATTTTGAAACAGTCTGATAGTTTTTATTCTTCTTTTACGCAAAGACAGCAGTCAATAAGATGGACATTTTTGCTGAAATTCAACGCTGTAGGTTAAGAAATTATGATTTTTGTAAAACACACATATTATATGACAAAACAAGATAGTATTATGTTTATTGGTAATGCAAAAACTTATGTTTAGGACGTAAACTATGTCCCCACCTCTTTTGAGAACCCTGTATGTACAATTATTACATCCACTTCTGCTCAGGTCAGCCACTACACATCAACTTAATAGATCACTGACAAACTATGGAAAGTAAGTGATAGAAGTTCTGTAAAAGTAATACAATTACAACAAAACTGTCAATTTCAGTCACACCTCCTGCACAAAGGGTCCAGTTCATTCTCGGAGAAGATGGCGACAACAATACTCATGAAGTTCATCCGTTGTTTTCGGAAATGGAAGAACTGTTCCGAGAAGACGACTGTCTTGAGTGGAGAGAAACTGCAAGGTATGGCTGAGTTGAAAATGTTTTTAGTAAAATAATCACCTTTTAGCTCAATTTAAATAGCTTCAAATCAATCAATTCAATTTATTAGATTTTTTATTTTTAATATGTAAAACAAATAACTTCATGTTTTATTTGGTCTTGCTTTCCCAACTCAGTAGCTAAGTTTTGTTTTATGTCAATAGTTACTTTTACTCACTTTTAAGGTGTAATATATATATTTCACCCAATTTATCGCAGTTAGATGAATTAACGTAAGCCTTGAAAGTAACCGTCGATTTTGACGGGTTTCACCTAGTGTAGTTAAAATCGAGTGTCTGTCAGTTGTAGTTTTAACCAATGAAACCACCAACAGTGCAGCACACATTGAACAACATTGGTGAATAAAAAGCTACAAAGATGGTAATGGTACTTTTTCATCATACTATCTACAAAACAGCTGTTTTTTAATTCTCTAAATCGTGTAAAAAACTTGACTCCTGCCGCTGTCTTAACAAATTTTAAGCACATGAGTGACCCCGAGGCCACAGTACTGACTGCATATTATGCTCTCTTCGAATCCCAACCAAGATACGGTCTGATATATATATATATAATAGTCTGGGGTGGATCGATATGTTTAGCCGTGCAAAAAAGAGCTGTAAGGACCATATCTGGTCTACAATACAGAGATAGCTGTAGGGAAACATTTACAACCCTGAAAGTTCAAACACCAACTGCCCTATATATTAGGGAAGTATTTTGTATGCTGAAACCTTGTTGTTAAATTTACTTAGTACAGTAAAATGAATCCATAAATTAAAGCAAGTACACCTATGCATTTAATATCTTAGTTCAATAAACCTTTGCAATGAGGGTTGGAAAATTGTTTAACATAGTTCAATGTGTTAAAGGAAAGACTAAAAGAGCTCAGGTATTTACCATTCCATACACTAGAGAGGTTGAGCTCACAGTCATTTATTCATACTCGCATCTTTTATGCACTGTGCATTGAGTTTTCCATAATCATGCTAATTGGTTGAATGTTGACTCAAGCTTTTAACATTTCTTTTTTCACAATTGTGCTCAACTTTTACAGTCTCGTAATTTGCTTTGTATAACATTTTCCTTTGAAATAAACATGTATAGTGGTAGAACTTTTTTTATAAATATCTTGAGATTTTAAAACTGTAACCAAATTACTGTATGTTAATAATATTTTGTGGTGTTTAACCCCTCATTGGATAGTGATGTTGTATCAATAGTCAAAGTTTTAACACACATTCCAGCAAAATATTTACTACCTATAGATAATTGAAAAAATTTGACAACATAGTACCGTAGTAGTGTAGTATGTTGATAGTAGCATAGACAAATATAATAGATACCTTTTATTTTTAGAATTTCAGTATATGATGGGTTTTTTAATAAGGGGTTTCAATTTTAAAATGGGTATTTAAATTCCAAGTTGGTTTATTGGTAGCTTAAACTCATTTTATAGTTAGCCATTTTGTCATATATAATTTTACTTAGCTGTTTTATTTGTACCTACAACATTATATTCTTGACTCATCATTTTTGTAAGGAAAATGTAATATTTTTGTAAGAGATTTTAATATGTTTGAACCACTTAATGAAGACACCACCAAGATTAATTTTACCAATCAAGCTAAACCTTACTGTATATGTTTTTTTAATATAATTTATATAGCTACAAACCTTACAAAAAAATTTTCTTCCATAAAAAACTTTTTATATTCAAAACTTTAAAGAAATGTTGACGTTAGGAATAATAATTTATTAAACACCTCAATATATCTTTGAATGTTATTATACATCTAAAATAAAAAGTCATGTGTTTAATTTTTTTGTTAAAAACACAATAATTTTGAGTGTTGTTTTATGAAGGAAATGAAGTTTAGATTGTTTTGTTAACATTTATTTTTACTTTCCCTCACTTTGTAACTTCTTTGTAAGAGCATCAGAATGTAATGGCTTGACCAATTGATATGAAATTTGGCCAACAGCTAAAGAATACTGAGCACAATGTTTTGACAAAAAAATATTTGTAAATTTCCTTCTGGATTTTATTTTACGGGTCACGCAATTTCGCTTGTTATTTTAATGTAAGTTGAAAGAAAAAATATATTGGGTTTATGACATATGGGTTTATCTCGTTTTATTTAAATAAGATAAACATATGTTAATTGTTTGTAACGGTTTTGTTTACATTTCAATGTTTACTTTCATCCTAGGTTAAAGTTAGTTTATCAATGGAAGTAACAGTTTTGCTATATTTGTTTTGAGCAAGGGTCAAAGACCACGTCGTAATATTGGTCGTCGCACCAATAATGCAAATATTGTAAGAGAGTGGCGTCGTGAACAAGAAGAACCAGATGAAGCAGTGGCGGAAGAAGCTGATAATGATAGGCAGTTAGCTAATCAATTCCAAAATGAATTAGATGCACTACAATTTTATACTTGCACTAACTGTCATCGCCAACAACTAACAGCCTCAAACCAATCACCGATTTGTTCGCGTTGTCATTCAAATGCAACTAAATTCACGGCGTTAAATAATATGGATGTGTCCAGTGTCCCGAACGAATTAACTGACCTGACGATTGTAGAACAAATGTCGATTGCACGAGTACATCCTGCTATGCCCATTTACAAAGTACAAGCAAATAGTCAGGATTGCCAGTTTCACTACAAAGGTACAGTATGAACTATCAGATAAATTTGTCATCCTTTAGAACTTAAATAATATCGGGCAAACAAACGGTGAATCTGTTGAATATTGTAGGGTGTTAGCTGCTTTAGCCATTGACAATCTTTAAATAATGCTTCGCTCATTTATGCGTCTAAAGTGTAACGGCAGACCACCCTAGTTATTTATTGTCAGTGATATCACAAATTAGTGAATCACGTTTATTTGACGACAATTAAGAAAACACAAAACACACGATTTTGTAATGTCTTAATCTTGTTATCAATGCTTCAGTTTTTTTAGTTTTGTATGACATGAGGTTAGACATCTGCAAAGTAAAAACTAATGAAAATACCATTATTATGTACGTTACATATTGTAAAATACAACAATAAAATAAAAAGTTATTTTTTCTACAGGTGGATTAAGTTTGAAGAGGATGTGGAAGAGGGTGGAAACCGGTGGTCCAAACCTCACGTTGCGACTCTCAGCCTACACTCATTGTTTGAGTTGCGTAGTCTTCTGCTCAACGGAACCGTGGTGCTCGACATGGAGGCTTGTACCCTCGAACAAGTAGCAGACTTAACACTCGACCATATGGTTAATTCCGGTGCTCTCCATGAAGATGCTCGGGAGAAAGTGAGTTTTAAGTTAATTCTTTGTCTCGTTTATTGGTGTTAATAATGGACTGAACCTGGCAATCCATTCCCATGCTGAAATTTTAGACTAATCTCTAATGGTGAACATAGTTGTTGTACCACCGACAAAGTTCGCTGATATCAAATACTGGTGTCTATTGCATATGCCAACTTTTTCAAGTGAAGCTAAAATTACAGCTTTTGAAAGCTATTATAGGGTGTTTTACCTCACATAATATATCACAGTAGCAAAATTTTAGAAAATATCATTAGACCATAGGATATTCTGTGAGTAACTCATTTAACTATAGATTTTATTTATAAAGTGGCTTCAGATGGTCCATGAGCTGTGTTTACAATAGGCCAGTCTTGTGTACTACAATATGTACTACTTCTATAGCAATATACTACTTGCCTCCAGTATATTTCAAGTTACCTGAGACAGGTAATTTGCCTGACGACTGGCTTTGTGAAATGCGGCTTTACTGTAATAATAGTGTTTGTTCTTTACATAACCACAGAAAATCACTATCGGACATTCCTAAAATAAATACACTTTTTGTAAGTACAGTAGAACAGTGGCGAACCAGAAGAAGTTTTTTTTTAATCATTCACTACTTATAATGATAGCACTACTAAATTTACACAGGAAAAAACAACTAAAGTCCTTAGGCTGTAGAGTACAGATATTTAATTATGTAATTAGTATCGAGAAGACTGACAAAAAAGAAGAAAATTCAAAGATGAAAGTGAAGACTGAAGAACGATTTTCTAGAGCAGATTCATTGATTGTTTTCACTTTCTTTGTGGCTGCATTGAATCACCAAGTGTATGGAAATTTCTCATTGTCTTTTGTTTGAGAAAAGGAAGTTTGAAAATTACAAAGGATCTTTTAATTCTCTTTGTAATCTTATGTTTTCTTGAAACTTCAATGCACTTCATTTTACAGAGTTGACGTTTTATTGTAGATAATTTATGTATGGTACAGTACAGACATTGTGAAGATATCTTTTCCCGATTGTATTATGCAAACAACGATGTTTTTCAGGATAAACAGAGCTGAAATACATTACTATTTGAATTTTATGGCTTAATCAGCTCAATATAAAATATTAGCCTTTAATACTTAGATTTAAAGAAATCCGACTTGTCTTTTGATCTTGAAGAAGATCTGTAGATGAATGTCAACTTTCATAAAACTAAGTATCATCAACTTGGCTCAAACTCTGAAACTCTTTGCCAGATAGCTGCCAGGAAATAACTAATCTTATTGCAGCTTTAGTAAATAATAATTTTGCAAAAGCAGAAATAAACATTCAACGTTGCCACTAAACTTGACAGAGATTATCGAAATAAATGTATAGTTGAACCTTCGTACCAATGAATAGTTCTTTATTCAGTCTTTAAACAATACAATATTACAATTGACATCGTCAAGACATCTTTTTAGAGTAGATGTACAGTAATATTTTTTTCATCATTGAACTGTGATATATATGTTTTTCATCATTATTAAGCTTTTAATGGGGATTGCGGTTTTTTAATGTTTGATTTTTTTTTCTGAGTTTGTACTGGCAACACTTTTTACATTTTTTTTAAAGATTTCAAATAATAATGATCGGTATTGATATAAATTATTTAATACACCGTTTTCCAAAAAGAATGGATCAAATCTACAGCCATATGTGTTACCAAGAGTCATAGGAAAGTCACCTATTGCTCATTTTAAAGCTGGCTTTTTTGTATCCTTCAACAGTAATCAGCTGTTCCATATTTGTTTGCACGTTTGAATTTTCATAACATACAGTTGCAAAATGGAGTGGTAGTTAAAAGCACAGAGTATTGAATGGTTTATAGAGACAAAATCTGTGGTTTGATTTTTTTGCCTGGAAGTTTGTGAAAGATCTAGTGTATCACTCGCTGATTTCAAACACAGCTTAACTGAAAACAAAGATGAAGCAAAGGGAAGCCTTTGGGAAAATATCTAATTAAATGTGCCACAATGTGTGGCCAGAGCTGGAACATTGACTTGTTCTTCTTCAAGCAAATAACTCAGGACATGGAGAGGTAAGGTGGTGAAATCATGATAGGAAAAACTTAGGAAGATGAGGAAAAAATTGTTAGTAAAGTTAACTTTTATCTTTTAAAATAAAGTGTTTATGCCAGTTTACTTCTGATCCATTCTTTGGGACAAGCGGTACAATCAAAAGCTTGTTTTAGTTGTTTTATGTCGGAGCCTCAGCGAATCTAGACAAGGGTTGGACATATTCCTTACCTACAAGTTCTCATAATTTTCAATGATTTGCAGGTGAGAGACATATTACTACAGAGGCACAGGCATCTTCACGAGAGACGTAAGGAGAGCAACATGAGAGGGCTTCCAATCATACGATCTCTTGCAGACATTGGCCGGAGTCATTCCTCCTCAAAAAGTCAGTATTTTTTAGTGTTTGAATGGATAAAACACAAGAATTTATCATATTTTGCAAACAATTGATTGCTGAAGGGTGAGTTGTAAACGTTTTTTTTCTTCCAAATTAGAGACCAGGAAAAAACTTAACCGTTGGAAAGTTTGGAAAACAAGTAGTTTTTAAAGTACAAAGAATATCTCTGATTATATTCAGTGCCCAGGGGGGCACGTCCCCCCCAACATAAAAAGTAGCTAATTTTAGTAGTCAACCAACAATAAAAATCTAAATAAAAATACATCTCTTCTACTTTTCAAAGGGGTTACTTTACTCACAAGGTATTTTTACCAAGTGTTATGAGGGTATTCCATACTAACTAGACACACCCCCCAGTAGGATGTTGAAATACAAAACAGTTAATACTCTTTATGGTGAATAGCTACCATCAAATGAAGTAAAACCATATTTGGAACTTTGTGATGAGTATCCATCCAGTACCTCAGTCTCAAAGAATTTCAGTTCATGTCCATCCCAATCTTAATATTCTACTCGGTTTACACTCCATAACTTATATGAGGTATGGTTATGGTTAGACATGCAGCGGAGTGGGTCGGATAGATCCGTGGCTCGCACAAGCAGCCTCCCCACCCCTCAGGAACCGTTTCCAGCAACAACTACAACCACGGGACAACGGTTTCTCACCGTGCCAGGTGCCCGAGTGAATTGTAGCACCGTAGTTGTGGGTGGCAAACATTGATGATGAAACTGTAGTTGCAACAATCACTACGTAGTTGTTTTGTTTTATAGCTTTGAGTAAGTGAAACTAAGTAACACGAAGTGTAACATTGTTGAAGAGTTTAAGCATAGTGTAACAATAATGGTTTTCAACCCTCCAGGATTGTAGAGAGTTTTTGGCTCTTTCAAGTGAGTATTGTAGTCACCTTTGCGATTGCTTTTGTTTTGTAGTGAGTGAATTTCGTGCTTTAAAGTAACAACAGCACACCTTTGAAAATGAAACTATCTAAGTATATTAAGAATTTTCATCACATTTTAACAGCCGAGGCTGAATTTGATTGTGTTTGGTACCGGTAACAGCAATGTTAATGTTCAATATTAACATCAACTTAATCATTGCAATGTATTTACGAACATATAATTTACGAATTTACATGGTGCGGAATAAACTGCATAAACTGAATTACCAAAACGTAACATGGTTCGTACATTACCATCATTCTATATTTTACCTTTTACCTGCTAAAACACCTAAACCTTAGAGGATTGTCAATTGACAGAAAAAAATTTCCATTTCACAAACACAAAGGGGAACTATATTTTTCTAAATTATGCCATAGAGTAAGGAGTATTTATTTAAAAACACAGTCTCTTAACAACTAAAATGAAGAATTCATTGGTTCAGTTTGTTCCTAACATTCATTGTTGGATGAGTATATCATTTTAGCGTAGTGATTAGTTTAACAAATACTAAAATGAACAACACACTCCCTAAGTAATGGTGTAACATGACTGCCATTGGTTGATTTCTCTATGGTGTTTCTCAGATGATCCAATGCCTATGGTGGTTGGCTTCACCACATGGTTTGCCTTGTGTCCGTTGGCTTCAGGTTCGACTTTTACTAGTTTTTGGTGTTCCTCCTCCAGCGGGCAGAATCTGTTTTGTTTATAGTATTACTATGACATTTTCAAACTCTTTTTACAAATATATTATGATTTCTTTAATAAAGGGTGACACTTGTAACACAGTATAACTTAATTATTCGATTTTTACAATTTTTAATGGACATTTTGATAAATATGTATCTTAGACTGAAAAATGGTTGGTACCAAACGCTTAAACTCAAGATTAAGATTTTTCTAAATATTAATTGGTAATAGAAGCGTCAATAGCCTCCTCTAATAAGGCTGCGGCAATAGAAACATGACAATTTCACAATCTTGACCCACCAAGCTGCTGTAGCACTAATTTTTAATGGTCGTCTGTACAATGTTTACACATTTTTTTTAGTGTTGAAAATTCGAACACAACGGGATTAACATACCCTGCATAAATTACACACAATACCTAACATTTACATGTACATTGTAAATCTTACATTAGAAGAGTTTTTATGTCAATGGGCTTAACATAGCCATTTGGTAACATTGATGGAACAGAGCTTATGACAAAATATGTACATTTGCAGTTGAGGAGTGACTGTGGCGAGGGTGGCGAGTAGGGAGGCATAAGTTGGGGATTTTGGCGTTCCCACTTTGTTGGTCGCCTTATATTAGAGGAGGTTATGCAGGAACTTACGATTAGTACACACCTACAAGTTTTAACTTAAAATGAATTAGAATTGATACAATATAACAACTCTTTCTGGCTTTAGATCTTGAGGAACCTCATAGATCTCTTAACCTTAACTTATTTTACCTTTGTTAACAGATAAACCATTTGGTTGAAACTAAAAGGAATTAAACAAATCTTTTAACAAAACAGATTCTAGCTTAAGCAACCACCTGTTAGCACTGCCATCTGTTCTCTCTCCATATGTGTTCACGTCTTTTTTTGAGGTTTTCATCACAAATCGTATTCTTCTTTTGCTACTTCCCTTGTGCTCTCAATCTTTCTTCATCTAGCCTTCAAGTTTTCTACTGGATTGTATGTCTTTACTGCTCTTCTCCAAAACTTGATGTGTTTTAAAAATACTGTATTTTACTTTGTATAGACTTGTATCATTGTATCATATGATTTATAATGAAAGGTAAGGTTATGTAAGGTGAGTTTATACCAGCTTTATTGCCACTTTGACGATAAGCTACAACAATAAACTTAACTCGTTTATATTTAGTTTACTCGTAATATTTATAGGACGTTTGAACCAATTTTGGTTTGAAAACAAAGGCATAACACATTATTAGGTACTTATTATTTACACTTGTTGTTTATAGCAAATATACACTGTAACATTTAGGCACAATTTTATTCTTATGAAAGCTGTAGATTGCGAGCCTTGCTGGTATTGAGTTTGCTTCACGTTTTGGTACGATAATTTGATAAAAAATATTTGACCTGGACTTAAAAGTTTCTCATAATCACACTTGATGATAAACTATCACCTTGTAAGTTCAGCAAATCTTTTTAAAACTATATAAACAAAATGAGTCTCTTGCATGTATTTACACGTTGAACTAAAGTTAGAAAGTAGAATCAGCCATAATTTTATATAATAATAGAAACACTTGATTTTAACATAACCTCTAACTTATGTAAGATGAAGACAGTTATAGTATAGATGAAATAATAGAGGTACTATTTCATCTATAACTATAGCAATTTCAATCAACGGTATCAGTACCAAAATGAAAATATTGAATAACCTGAAAATTATGGTTTGAACCAAAGTTTTAAGTATTGTTTGCACCAAACGTGAAGCTCGCTATAGCCCTAGTTTGCTTACATGCTACACAGTGGAAGATCACACCTCGGCTTCCGCACCTAGACTTGACTCTGCGAAGTTCCTCATTCCCCCTCAAACTATGGGTAATTCTCCGCCTTTTGTACACTCTAAACACCAGGTGTCCATGAGTTGTCTACAGAATTGAATATTTGTAGATACAAATTTGAATATCTCTCATGAACCACATCCAGTATTGATCGATGGTCGAAGGTTTTAAAGCTTTAAGTTTTTTTTCAGATAACATTTGTATTCGCTTCCACATGGAAACCACTAACTATCCAACCGCATAATTTTAAATAAAAAATGATTTCTGAGTTTATGATTAAAATAGAAGAGAGACGTTCCAATGATTAATCTTGGTAATTAATAAATATGCTGGTAATGTATAGAAGACCATTGATTAAATTACCCTGCCTCAATATTATGTTAGAGTAAATTATAAACAGTACAGTACCAATTTGTTCATTTTCTACTCATAAAAAAAACAATCCCTGTAAGAAGAGACATTGGAAAATGACAAAAATGATCATACCAATTAAACTTACTAACTAGTAATCATTGTAGCTACAATTATTTTCATGATCCAACATTTCCAAAAGTGTAGTAACAATAAATAGTTAAAAATTATGGACACCTGGTAGTTGGCTATGCATTAGTTAAGCAAAGCTGCTGCTTTTTAAATAATCACAAAATAAAAGTTGAAAAGAGACATAAAAGGCCAATGTAATCTATGGTTGATTCTTTTATTGAACGTTGGACGTCAAGCAGCTCGTAAAACAAGAGTACCAAGGTTTGTTTTGTAAATTGTTCACTTAGCCCTGATGTTTTTCTGCACAACACCTCTAATCCTATTTCTAGCTTTATCTATGTAGCTGTATTCTTATTCTTAGCCTACCTACACAGTGAAGTGGCGATATACGCTGGCAAGGATCTTAATTAGCTTACTCGCTTACAGCTGTGTAACAATTATCAATTATCAATCAATCAATTATTATCAATCAATAATCATTGAGATTTGGATGTCACATTAATAATGCATATTTTAATCCAAATATGAGTGAAGGATTGGTGTAAAATGGTGTGAGATGATCTGTGTAGCTTTATCTGATCTTAGTCAGTATCTAAGATCAGCTGTTTCATTTATTTAAGCGCAATGATCAGGAACAGCTGGGTCCAGTTTTGAACCATCAAAAAGCTACTGACTTTTCTCAGGATTGAACCGGCGACCTTTTAATTGTTAGGCGAGCACTATAAACCACTGAACAATGGAGAGCGCTTAGGCGTCCCCTTTTGTGTGGCGCCCTACACAACCGCATACTTTTTTACCCCGAACCTGGTCAAAGTGGTTTGAAAATGTTACGTCTACAGCCACAATTAGTACCACAAGCAAGTTTATGACTTTTGTTAGTGTATAGTTATTTGTGCAACTAGTGAGAAAAGTGAGCAATTGACTCACTCGAGAGAAATCCTTACTCACGAGCCGTAGGCGAGTGAGGAATGGTTTCTCGAGTGAGGCAATTGTACTTTGCATTCGAGTTGCACATTATACTTTTTCTACAGTTACCATAAAACAAATAAATTGGTGAAGAAACGCGCTCACTATTTCGTGTCTTCATGTTGCAAATCTGGAGTGAGACAAAGTAATTAGATGATGAGCGAATTGGCCCCTTTGCTTTCTCAAATCAGTGAGAGAACATGTACAGGTAACTGTAGGAAAAATTATTTGTGTGGTCCACAAGAAATAGAAACTGTTTTGTGCAATGGGCTTGGACAACCATCATTTAAGGGTTTCAGTTTTCTATACAAAGATTGTTTAAAACCTATCGATGTTTTTATCTAAATTTATTAAATTTCTTGGGAAAATAATGAGTTTTTTTAAAATCATAATGAATTAAAACAAGCTACTAAGCTAGTATGCACTTACCGTAAATGCTTATCCAACTGATTCCAGTCAGGTAATCGTATAGTAAGTGAGAAAGCTATAAATTGCCGCTTCACTGTGTAGTTCTTATCCAGCTAATTATAACCCGCTTTGTCTCTAAATATTCTTTCTAGTTACTAAAAGCTACTTAGAATAATCTGTATGGTAGTCTTATTAATCCCATAAATATTTCCCGATTCTTCTACAATAGTAACCTGTATTAAGAGTAAGACAATACAAAACCTAAACAATGTAAATATTTAATTGGCTTTTTAGCTAAAATAACAAAATGTAATTTTTAAATCATCCTCAATAGCATGAACAACATTATTTTCATGTTTAGTGGCATACAATTTTAGCAATGCGGTCAATAAAAAGAATTACCAATATTTTACAAAAAAAAAGGTTATATCAATTTATATGCTGAGCTGAGAATCATATAATTGGTTACTTACCAACATTTTCATGGGATTTATCAACTTCAAAAGGTTTATTAACTACTTCAGCTCTTATCCAACTTTACAAGTAATTGACTTACAAGTCACTGAGAGTTGAGATTTTTGACTCTATTAAATTCATAGAAGAAATACTGGTAACTATAATATTTTGATTTATCAGGAAGTTGATGGAAGTGTATATTCCCCTTTATTTTGTTGTGTACCGGTAACATGTCTAATTTGTCTAATCTTGTTCAGGAGCTCCAGCAGGGGGAGGTGGAGGGGGTGAGGGAATGGATAGAAGTCCGAGCTCTGTGTCTATGAGCAGAAACCACAGCTTTAGTGATATCATCGGTGAACACAAAGTGAGTATGTCAACGTGTTGTATTTAACCATGTAAATAAGAAACCTAAGAGAATGGATCTTTAGAAATTTAACGAGGTGTGTAATTTATGGAAACCCCAGGATAAATATACTAGAACATTCAGTTTATTGGCTAACCATTCAAACATTGTCTTTCTAGTCAGGAACCAGTACTGTAGATGATTCAGAAGGATTGATTCCGTCTGATTAGTTCAGATGTGCTCATGGGAAATTTACTATTATGTGGTAGAGTTGGCAAGAAGACCCCTCTTAAATGAGAATACATGGTTAAAACTTTGGGGCGGAGGAAAAATATTTTAAGCAACCTTTTGGGTGCTACAGTTTAAAAGAACGATAACAAATTTTGTATAAAAATGCAAAATCCTTTTAGCATTTCTTTAGACATAGTTTAGAAATATTATTAAACATTAGATTGTGGAGTTGTTCCAAATACTTTTTAAAATAACCAGTGAAACTATAACCAATCAATTTTCCTCACTATAGATTTTCAAATTATATTTTTTATGCCAGGAAAACTCTTTTGTTGATGTATCAGTCATGCAATACTTTACCAATCAAATCAAATCAAATCAAATCAAATATATTTATTTCCATTCGGTACAATAAAGTACAATAGGATAGGTCAGATTGCATTTTACAAATTGTCATGAAGCAAATTAAAGTAGATGTGAATATAAAATTAAACTTAAATTATATAATATATAGAACAAAACAACTAAACAAACAATTTCTTGCAATCTTCAAGATTATCCCAGTTACCGTATGGTTTTAACTTATCCCTAAAGTCTAGCCAAGTCATACTGAACAAAACCATACTTTGTTACTTAATCAATTTACTAAAAACTAATTTTGTTTAAGTAATATTTACTGTTATATTTCAAGGGAAACTTGGGGTTCATGAGGAAGATTCCACCAGGAGCAGAAGCCTCCAACATCCTGGTGGGAGAAGTTGACTTCCTGGAGAAACCTTTGTCTGCCTTCATCCGACTGAAGACGTCTACAGTGTTTGGTGATCTGACGGAAGTCCCAGTACCTACACGCTTCATGTTCATCCTGCTAGGACCTACGGTAGGTCTCACACAAAGATGAACCAATCAATGATGCAATGTTTTTTTTTCAATAAGATAAAGTAAATAATCATTAAGGCTCGGGTACACAAGGCTAGTACTAGCTTCTCATTGATTAGCGCTTATAAATTAGCCCCAAATAAACTTCATAGGGGAAAATAACAACTAGCACTCAAGCATTTTACTCGCTGCTAGTTGCTTTTGACATGTTTGATAATACAAGTGCTAACAGTGGAGGGGGTGGTCACGTGACCACTAGCGCTTGCAAATCAGCTTGCCACTAGCGAGGTCGGTGCACCTCTATGGGAGCGCTAGTGCTAATCGGTACTCACCAGTAGGCCTAGTTGCTGATTGTAAAGTAGATAGGTAGTAAACTGTTCTTCCACAGCCTGCTCCCTTAAAAGATTATTCGAAGCACCAAGAAGTTCTCGCCTTAACTCGCCACAAAGTCTCTTGTCTTTGTCTCTTTTCATTATATTCCTTTTCACACAACTCCATTGCGATTTAAAGTAACAGAAGCCACGCGTGGATGGAAGTTTTTGCGCCAGTGTGCCCTGCTTGTGCTAATAGCAAATATTATCTGCTAGTAAACTAGCCACGTGTACACGGGCCTTTAGTCATTCCATGAAGGATTGAAAAGCTATGTGAAATAGATCTGTGACACTAAGATGGTAGGAAAGGTAAACCATTCGACCACTCATGTTCAATAAATTATTAATTATTCAATTTGATTAATTACCGTTATTTAAGTGTATTTTACCAGACATTTGTGACACATATTACCACCTCACAAAACCTCATGGAACCAACTGACTGTAGGGAGGCATCGCCAGTTTCCACGAGATTGGTCGTGCGATGGCAACACTCATGAGTGACGAAGTGTTTCACGAAGTAGCCTACAGAGCTCGTAACCGCACACATCTGTTGGCCGCGGTGGACGAGTTCTTAGACGCAGTGACAGTGCTGCCACCTGGCGAGTGGGACCCCAGCATACGCATAGAGCCGCCCGCTGCAGTGCCTTCACAGGTATATATATAAAATATTTTGCTACTCACCTTATTTTGTGCTCGATGGTATTTGTTTGTGTTATCGGAGGTAATAGTGTAATTCTGATTTCCTGACTTATTTAAATGTGTACAAATTAGTAAGAAACTTATCATGGGAAAATGGGACCGGACCAGAAATTAAGTTTAGTATGAAGCTTTTGACTTATTTTGTCTAACTCGCCTAAATTATTTATGCCTAAATAGGCTAACTAACGTTTTTTTTTTTTTTTTTTTTTTTTTTTTTTAGGCAAAAGCCGTACATTTTTATTTTAATGTCTGCAAATTCCTTTCACATCTTCTCTAGCTGCCCAGGAAGTTTTCTTCCATTCACGTTTTCTTTCCATGTAAGCTTTTGAGGAATATCAAATATTTCAAGGATTAGGAGTTGCAAATTGATCAGCATAGTGAGTGCAGCAGGTAATCGACCAAGAATATTTTGCCTAGATGATGCGGTTTGTAAGTCCACCAGAAGCCTTCTTTTTGCACTGAAAGGTTGATAACCAAAATACAACAAATGAAAATCTTTCTTTCAAAATCTTTCCACATAAGTTTCAGTGGTTTCAATGGATTTCAGAAGTTTTCTCCAACAAAGTATTCAAATATGGCTTAAACTTGATAATTCACAGGACTTTTCTTTCCTCAGGATCCCAGGAAGAGGCCAGAGAAGCCTATAGAGTATGTTGACCCTGAAATCCTGGAGCAGAAATTGAGGGAAGAGTCTGGACTTTCCCGGACTGGAAGATTGTTTGGAGGACTGGTCAATGACCTCAAGAGGAAAGCGCCTTGGTGAGTGAGTACATAATAGAGTGAAATTAAAAGTAAGGATCTAGATAAAGGTACAACTAGGAACTGCTTAGAGTGTGAGCTGTGAGCTTATTTGAAACAAGTTAGAAGGTTTAGTGGAATTATTCACAACCATTAAACTTGCTATGGTGGAATTCCTTTAGTTGAAAGAAAAAAAAACTAATTTAGCCATGTTTTTACACAACTTTAGTCACTGGTAGCACAGAGAATTAAGGTACAGGGAAACATTTATCTTAATGGTATACTTAAGTGGTGTCTATCACTATAGTTGCTAGTGTCTAGGGTAAGGGGGAGCGAGCTGGTCTAGTGGATAGAGCGTGGGACTTCGGTGCCTGAGGTCCCGGGTTCAAATCCCGCCAAATCAACAATGGATTTTATCTAAGTGATATGCCGCAACCCGTAGGTATAAGCTGAAGTAACAAGAAAAACAATCCCAAGCTCATGCTTAGCGTCCTAGAACAAAAAAAGTGTCTAGGGTAAAGTCCCACTTACCTTACTCTCATGTACTACAATACTCATTGTGAAGGAAGACTCAGGGCCTGTGCGATAGGAATTTCCGCAAGGCAGTTAGTACTCGTCGCTCAGGCTCTTTCTCGCTCGTCACAATTATATTTCCAGCACAATATTCTAGGGCTAAAAGCGTACGGTCGTCCCTTGAGCGAGTTTCCTTTTGTACTTCACTTCTCTGTGCAGGCAGGGAAATGGGTCTTTGTACAGGGAATCTCTATTAAGATTCAAGATTGTAATTTGTGATTCATTAGGCATTCAAAGATGATGCATTGTACATGTTAGTTATTAATTTATTCATACAATTAAATATTAACTGCCAGCCCAAAAGGGTTTGCAAGGGGTTAGTCACTCTGTCACCAAAGGCTTAGTTTGTTAACTAATATAATAACTAAAGGTCTAGAGGTTTACAGATAAATGTCACTTTGGGTCAGATAGTCATGGCTGGTTTTTATCAGATCCGATATTGAGAGGTTTTAATTTGCATTCAGAACTATTGATCTTTTTTATCAATCCTATTGATTTTTTAAAATTCCCATACACCTCTACTAATAACCCTTTGTTGATTTAACCACTGTTAGTATTTTATTTAAAAAATATATCCATTCCCATTCCTCTATTAAAAGTTGTATTTGTCCCAAAATGATGTAGGGACCAAACAGATTGTTAGTTTTAGTCTAAATTCAGCTTTGGTGGGTTCATACAGCTTCATTCATTTCTACCCTATAATGATTTCCATCTTTGGAAAGGTACCGTTAATACAACAGGTGAAATTTTTTTTGTTTCACAATTCGCCCATAATTTGACATCAAAACAAGTGATACATCATAATGAAGAAAACCTTATTGTGTCTTAAATATTCCTTATTGTAAAAATAACAAGAAATATTTGGTACATTCAAATATTCAACTAGTCTGAGTTAATAATGATGTATAGTTTTGTCCAGGTATTGGTCAGACTTCAAGGATGCCTTAGCAATGCAGTGTGTCGCGTCTTGGATCTTCCTCTACTTCGCCTGTCTCTCCCCAATCATCACGTTCGGCGGTTTGCTCAGTGAAGCCACAGGCAAGAACATGGCCGCTATGGAGTCCCTCATCTCCGGGTTCGTCTGTGGCATGGGCTACGGGTTTTTCTCCGGGCAGCCTCTCACTATCCTCGGATCCACCGGACCTGTCCTGGTCTTCGAGACTATTGTTTATGATTTCTGTGGGTAAGATTGTTAAGGTTACCTTTGACTATGAAAAAATGTGGTGAAATAGACATCTATTTTTGTGTTATCGTTATAGTCGGTTTAAGATTGAAAAATAATTTAGTTGAATTGGGTTACAATTTAAAAAGTGTGCTGCCGTCTTTTACTTTTTTCTCTATCCTGCTTTCTGTTTGCTGTTCATGTTCCCTACAAGACTCAGTTAACTGGATTCTTATTAAATTATAAACTAACTACAGCTAGTCCACGTGTGGTTACTCAGTCTTTACCATGGTAGAAATACAGGGTGATTGATATAAGTGTGCCAGCCGTTTTATTCGAAAACTATAAGAGATATCAAGAAAAGTTAAATGGTAAGTGCCTTGGATTTTTTATTTAAAAAATTGTAGTCAAGTCAAAAAAATTATTTTAGCCGCCATTTTTCCAATATGGTCGCCAACTTAGATTTTTCTTATGGAACACGCTGTATTTTATAATGTATTCTGGTAGAAAATGTAATTTTAAGACGATTTTATAATTGTGATTTTTTTCATAAACCTAACCGTTTCAAAGATAATAATGGTTTAAGCTGTGAAATTTTGAATGGTTTTTGAATAAAACAGCTGGCATGCTTGCTTAGGCCTTTATCGAAACTCATTCTCTTGCAGAAATTTCAAAACTTGAACCATTATTATCTTTGAAACGGTTAGGTTTATGAAAAAAATTACAAGAATAAAATCGTCTTAAAATTACATTTTCTACCAGAATACATTATAAAATACAGAGTGTTCTATAAGAAAAATCTAAGTTGGCGGTCATATTGGAAAAATGGCGGCTAAAATAATTTTTTTGACTTGACTACAATTTTTTAAATAAAATATCCAAGGCACTTACCATTTAACTTTTCTTGATATCTCTTATAGTTTTCTAATAAAACGGCTGGCACACTTATATCAATCACCCTGTATATAATGGTGTAGAGTAAAGTACCTTAAGGAAATCAGCTGCGGGAAAATGTTAGCTAGCTTCAAACAAAATAATGTAAGTTGAATCCTTAGTGAATAATTTTTTAAGTAAGGAACGTTTATATCTGACGCAGAAACAGAAAGGTGTGCGCTAGTCACGCATACTTTCTAGTAGACGTATTTACCTACTCAATGATTGTCCAGCCAACACAGTAGAAGCATCATTGTGCTGCCTGTCGTCGCAAAAATTTATCCTCTAGGGTGAAGTGTAGGAAAACAACATAATATTTCAAGTTCTGTCCAGAAACGGTGCAATCAGTTCCAAAATGGCTCGATAAAAAGTTGACGTCCAAAATGTTGTTTTTGAATGACAATGCCTGACCTCAGTTGTCAAATACCACAAATCTCCTTCGATCATTCAACTGGAAGATTTTCCGTCTTCCGGAATGGGCTCTGAGTGACTTTCACTTGTTTTGTGCATCAAAATAAAGACCTGGTTAGCAGCACAGCGCTTTGAATATGACAAGGACCGCCAATTGCATGTTCCAAATGGCTGAGCACGCAGGGCCCTGTTTCATAAAAATACTAGTCTAGTATTTTTTAGAAACATGGCCCAGGTGACAGAATACTACAATTGAATTTCAAAGCTCATCCGCCACTTTGATAAATGCCTCAATCCGTTTGGCGGATATGAGGTGAAGTAGTATACTATTTGCACTTTTAAACATATTTTTTTATAAACTTTTTACTTTATTCAAAAACATTAATTACTTACAAGTCATACTAGTTCTTACCTACCATTTTTGCTAAATCATCTTAAGTAATTCTGCATCATACACCAATGCTAACTTGATCTGTTCTTGCTATTGGTACAACTATAGCAGCTGTATTTGTTGACAGGAATGCAGGTTGGGACTACATGTCGTTCCGGCTGTGGATCGGCCTTTGGGTCGCATTCATTTTATTCGTCCTTGTTGCCATAGATGCGAGTGCACTCGTCTGTTATATTACGAGGTTCACAGAAGAAAATTTTGCTACGCTTATTGCATTTATTTTTATATATAAGGTGAGTTTTGTCGCCTTAAAGTAGTCTAGCCGAAAAAGAACAAAAATGCTTTTGTTTGGGGTAGAATAATTTGTTAATATTTTTGCATAACCATAAATGAGTTAAGAAGGCTGTGGTTGGGGGATAAATAGGAATAAATTAAACCCTTGTCTGAATACACAAATAATGTGTTTACATAATCTGTTCCAAATACTTTACACTGGTTTGTAAGCTATGTAGGCTATAATAGACTAATTCCTAAAACTACTCATTTTCACATTGGTCTTCATACTGATGCTAAATGGTTTCAACGTTTTAACTTCCTGCTCTGTTAGTGATCCTAAATAAGGAGCAAGAAATCGTTTAAGAGTGTTGACAGGATATTTACATTTAATACCTACAATTCATAATTAATTACTATTGTTACATTTAAAATTGACATTATAGTTCAAAGACACTTCTAATCTTAGGATCACTGAAAGATCAGGTTGTTAAACCTTTTAGTTAGTATTTAGTGATCCAAAGGCAATCTCATTATAAAATAAGAAACTGAAGAAACCATCAACAAGTCATAACAAAAAGGCCAACAGTTTGTGCCACCATATGTGTTTTTGGGGCGACCCCTAAGTTAGACTGCATCACATATTATTGCTTACTGACCACATTGCAATCAGAGATGATGGAAACATCATTGCCTACTGAGCTGCTATCATGTCTACTCTGATAAGTCTACTAACTTTTCCAGCACTCTGACCTTGATACAAAGGCAGAAACTAATAGTCAAAGGTTAGACCACCTGACTTGTTCTCTAGTTTCAGCCTTTGAGTGTGAAGAGATGGAATTCCACAGGTATCCATAGAGTAAGAAAATCACCTAAATATTTGCCATTGTCTAATGTTACAGGCTGTAGAGAATGTGCTGAGGATAGGCAAGAAGTTCCCCATAGACAGCCATAGAGGAGATCACCTGACACATTGTATGTGTGAGCCTCCGCCACTCCTCGTCTCGGTGGAGGGCTTCAACTGGACCACTCTGGAGAGGGAGGCGTGCGTTGTGAGTGTATATTCATTAATGTCAGGGGAAAGGGGAAAGATAAATTTGTTTTCAATCAAAACTAAAGTGAGGAGGTAGCTGGTCTAGTGATAGAGCACAGGACTTCAGTCTTTGAGGTCCTGGGTTCAGATCTTGTCAAATCACCAAATGGTTTACTAGAGTGATAATGCCGCAAACTTAGGTCTAGCCAGAAGTAATGTAAAAAAAAATCCCGAGCTTCCTAGCATCCCTACAACAATAAAATCATTGGAAAGGGACAATTGTTTTAAGAAATACAATTATTTATTGTCAGATGGTCTTAAATCACATAGGCAAGTGCTATGTTATGATAGTGGAAACAGCCGGTCTCAAAATAGAAAAATCTGTCATATCAGGAATAGAAACAAACTACTGCCGTTACTGTGTTTGCTGATTGGCGTTAAACAGTATTTTGAATAATGGATGTTGACAAATAGTCAATTTTTGTAAAGCATGACATTCACCTAGAAAAGTATTATTTTGTATTGTAAGAGTCTATTCATAACTTCTGTAAATCTTTTTATGCATTTTCTTCAGGCCTTGAACGGGTCCTATGTTGGCGAGGGCTGCGTCAACACAAGACATGTACCTGATGTATTCCTAATGTCCATCCTTCTCTTTTTTGGAACCTTCACAATCTCAATCATACTGAAGGATTTCAAAACTGCTTTGTTCTTCCCAACTAAAGTAAGTATCTTTCAAATATTAATGTATTAGTAAGTTTTTTTTCATTTTTTGCTAAAGGCAACTATGTATAAACTTTTTTATTTTACAGGTACGTCAATTCATCAGTGACTTTGCGGTGATAATCGCCATAGTTTCTATGACATTTATTGACTACTTATCAAACATACCTACTCCAAAACTAGAGGTGAGTATCAGCTTATACTTAGACCAAAAGAGAAAATAAAGAAATAATCTAAATCCAACTATTTAGCAAAGTTTCAGGCTTTGGATTTGTTAAGATAATCCACAGGGTTGTTAAAAATGTATGTTGTATCGTAGACTAACCAACACAAGTAGACTTCCCCACCCGTTATACATTTTGTAGCTTGTTCTTCGTGTCTAGTTCATGTTTGGTGACACTGGTGGCTAGTGTCGAAGAAATTTTGTTTCTATTATTTTAGAAGTAATTTTAAGATTTGTGCTTTACCGTTTGGTTATATAACTAGAGGATGAGTTATTTTTTATGATTATATCGTTTTATTTGGTTAAATGACTGAAATAAACAAGAAACAAATTGTAAACAAAACACGACATCTACAGTGCATTGGACGGAACTAACAATAAAATTGGCTTCAGCTGTTCCATAAGGATGGGAAATCTACTAAAGGGACTATGTTTTATCTATGGTTTTATCTATGGTTGTATCAAAAAAGCTTAATACACACCAGATTTTGAGAAATCATTGGAATTTTCAATTTATAGTTTTTTTTTATCCACATTAGATTGATGATTACCATTCAACTTATGAGACCAATCAATCATTAAGACAACAATGTGCATTTGGGTGTGCTGAATATGTTGCATGGTTGTAGAGTGGAATGGAGTGAAATTCCCAGCACAGCTGTGTTACTCAAATCAGCTGTTTCTTTTGCCACCTCTATTTATTAAGCCCCAAAGATTGAGGAAAGCTATCATCTATTACTTATTTAATACGCAAGCACGATTTTTGTGACAATTACTCCTCCGAAACTACTGAACCGATTGACATGTTTTTGGTGTCATTGGAAAGAGCGTAACGTGAAGTTGTGCAGGAAACCTTCTTTTTAAGGAAATAGTTAGAGAATGAGGCCCTGGGGCCCTTTAAAGTTTTGTATTTCTCCATAAGGATAACAAGGGAGATCATTTTTATTTATAGAAACATATGTTTGTTACTTGAAAATAGTCAAAGTCTACTACATAGTGATTGCTGTGTATTATGACTGTTAATGTATACTACATTTCAATCAAGGATTGTGTGCCTTAAACTTTACTCATAATGGATCTCAATACTTTATTTTCATGCTGGGAATAGTAAAATTTAGTTGAGAATAAGTTACCATATTTAGAAAACTTTACTATAATAATTGATGTATTTAAAATCACAAATCTTAGACAGTATTAATTCATTAGAAACGAAACAGCTGATCGAGAAATCAAACAAATCCTCTACTTCATGTGAATAATGTTTTTACACAAACATAGTTTTTTTTAACCAATAACTTGATTATTTTTTACTGTACTTCTTTGCAATTGCTCGATTTCGAGCAACATGTACACTAGTTCTTGTAACTTGTTAATTGTGCATTCACTAGGATTTTAAAATATACAAAATAACATGGGTGGATAGATTATACTGAACAGCTAGTAGATTTCCCAATATTTTGTTCATGTTCGGTTTGATAAACCCACTTCTCTTACCATATGAGTTCTATCATTGTATAACCATTATATGATATACAAAATCAATGGCTTCACACTAATATAAATGTGGATGTGTACTTCAAAGTATACTAAAGCCGCGTTTACACAAAGCCAGTAGCACAGGTTACCTGCCTCAGGTAATTTGAAATACGTTAGGGTTTTCTACCCTAAAAATATTATTTTTTTTTTACTCTGGCATTTTTAACTACCTTGACACCACAGTATTTTAGGAGTGTTTTTGCTCAGGTGCCGAGTGAGTTCAAACCAACTCTGCCTGGTCGAGGCTGGGTCGTCTCTCCCTGGAAGAACCCCATCTGGACCATCCCTCTGGCTGTGCTTCCTGCCCTTCTGGGCACCATCCTCATCTTCATGGACCAACAGATCACTGCTGTTATAGTTAACCGCAAGGAAAACAAGCTCAAGGTACGGAATACTACCTAGGTAACTAGAGTTAAGGGCCAGAATCTAGGTACTAGAGACTTGAGTTATATTTGATTACCTTTGTTGTTGTTGCCTGTGTTGTTGAGTAGGTGAGATATTTGTGTCTCCGTATGCATTTTCTAGCTTTTGTGGGGTATTCAGGAGTCTTCTTAAGTTAACATATTATCATTAAGTCTATATTTAAAAAAAATATTTACTCACACCCCACTAGTATCGTGATTGGGTCGATCAGACTACGTGACCACGGACTTGTGGAGAAGTCACGGCGGGAGGTCTATTTTCCTTTTGTTTCATTTCTTAGACTAATGGAATTTTAGAATGTTTGGGCCATGAGGGTAGTTTGGACTTTCCTGGTTTGTGATCGTCGGGTGCTTTAATCTCTATAGTGTTGCCGGTTTGTTGCTGTGTTCCCAGGGTTTTTATAGTTACCAAAATGTATAGGGTGACAAAAAAACATCTTACCTACTCAAGAACGCCTGCAACAACAAAAAGATAATCTGATATGTTAGAATGTTTTTTAATACCGAAACAAACTCTAAATCTTGATTAAGCAATGTATAACTGTAACATGTACCTTAGCTTAAATATTGAACATGTCACCCAGAACGCTTTACTAATGTAAACATCATATTCAAACAACCATGTTACCGTTGCATCTAAGTTGTATCTGGAAATGTTCCAGAAAGGATGTGGGTATCATCTAGACCTGTTTGTGCTCTGCATCCTGATCGCTGTATGCTCTATCATGGGTCTGCCATGGTTCGTGGCAGCCACTGTATTGTCCATCAATCACGTCAACTCGCTCAAGCTGGAGTCTGAGTGTGCCGCGCCCGGGGACAAACCACAGTTTCTAGGAGTCAGGTTAGTTGAGGGTTATGATATGGGTAAATTTTTGATAAAGTAAATGAAGGTGATGGGCAGTAAAAGTTGTAAATACTCAACCATGAATTCAATTAACGCTTATGCATTCAATAATGTTAGTAAGCAGGATTAGTTGTTTGTTTCTGAAATATTCAATTGCCATTTCAAAAATTGTTTCATACCAAACATTTGACACCACAATTACTTCGACCCTGTCTACACTCATTCAAGAAGAGTACAGACCATATTGAGTCGTACCATAGTCCAAAGACATAAAGCCCGGAAGCTGTTCAGATTAGACTGCAAAGGACTTGCTGACATTGTGACAGCTTGTTCATTTTCTTCCTCTTACAAAGGCTTGTTTACAGTGCTATAAATCCTCTGTTAAAGATTACGCACAGTTTCTCTCACTATGTGTTGCCAGGGAACAGCGAGTGACTCACATCCTGATCTTCCTGATGATCGGCCTATCAGTGACCATCACGCCCGTGTTGCGTCACATTCCCATGCCGGTGTTGTTCGGAGTGTTCCTCTACATGGGCGTGGCTTCCCTCAAGGGTCTACAGTTCTTTGACAGGATACTCATCATGTTCATGCCAGCCAAGTATCAGCCAGACTACATGTTCTTGAGGAAGGTTGGTGGTTTTTTGTAACTGTAAAAGATTATTCTATTCGTCTATGTATTGCCCCAGAGAAGTAAGTTGCAGAGGAAAAACTCAATGGTATATACTTGTGGTGTCTAGCACTAGTGCTGGGGTCTAGGGCATAGTCAAACACCACTTCATTGCCTCATGCACTACAACGTTCACGATGGGGGAAGACCCTGTACCTTATGAGATAAGAAATTTTGCACAATGCTCGCTGCTCTGGCTCTTCCTTTCTTCATGACATACAAGATATGAAAGCGCACGGTTGTCTCTGAAGCGTGTCTTCTCCGTACCTTAATTCTCTGTGATATCACATACAGGTAAAATATGAAACATATAAAGGAACTCTAATGACAGAACATCCAAGCTGAGTTTTGTTTCCAGCTTACATGGTGGGACGTATTATAATTATACAGTACAATAAAGAATACAGATTGTGCAGGAATTTACTACAATCATTAGTATCAAGCCTCTATTGCTGGGGTTTAGAAACTGCACAAAAGAATTGATTTTTAAGAAGACTTTATGTCTAATCTTATGTTTTATTTATTAATGTCTTTGATGAATATTTCCAGGTACCAATAAAGAGGGTTCACATGTTCACGTGTATACAGTTTGCATGCTTGGTCATGCTCTGGCTCATCAAGTCTTTCCAGAAAACTTCCATTCTCTTCCCTCTCATGGTAAGTTTTTAATTTTCTCTACTTCCTTAGTGTACTTCTTAGCAAATAGGTTTTGTCTGTTTTTATTTAAATGAAAGAATCAAATGCTAATAATGGAAAAGTCTTGTAGCAGTGAATTTTGCATCTGTTAATTACTGTGTAATTGAGTTGCTGATAATGAAGGCCCGGGGTTTGCTATGGGCCCAAGAGATAATTGCCCCCCTTTCCTCGCCGGGAAATGCCCTCAACAAACCTTAAACCTCTTGCACCCCTGAGCCCAGGCCCACTGAGCTTATTTACTAGAGAGGCCCTGCCGTAATGTCAAATTAGTGTTAATTTTGATCATTGGCTGGGTAGCAAAATAATAGAAGATATTGGTGTCTTTAACCGAAATCAATCATCTGTAACCATATTAATCATTTCCTGTATTTTATGGGAACACCTAAGGATGGATATATAATTTGACTTATTTAATTTATAACTGGTTAAGATAAATGTGTTCTCCATCTAAACAAATTGAAATTATCTTTTTCAGTTGGTTGTAATGATTGGAATAAGAAAATCGTTGGATTTCATCTTCACTCAGAGGGAGCTAAAGATTCTGGATGACGTGATGCCAGAAACTATAAAAAGGACGGAAGAAGATGAGAAGGAATTAGGCCCTGAGGTAAAGTGTCTTCATAAATAATTTCTAAAAAGCCATAAGAAGTATACGTACTGGGTTAGTTGTTACCAAAATTGTCCACTCAACAATTTTTTTAAAACCATGATTAAGTAACTAAATTAAAAGATTTACAACTTTCAAACACCCTGTGACATTCGACATTCCCTTCATAAGTGGCTTTCATTTTAGGAGGAAAAACAAGGAATGGATGACAACCTACAAATTCCTTTGGCGAATGGAAATATAATGAAGATACCTCTAACTTCCATTAACATATCTGAAGAGGTTCCCAAAACTGGCATTTGGAAACAAGTAAACATGAACAAAAGTGAAAAGAAACACAATTCGTAAGTATTATAACAATCTATTTTGATGTTTGTGATACTGGTTTTCAAGTTATGTGAAAGTGGTGATGAGTTAACGTATGTTTATGTGCATGAAGAAATTTCTTTATTGAGCTGTTTGATTGCTTGACTGACATTTTAAGTTTTTTTTTTTTTTTTTTTTTTGTATTCTTGACTGTTTACAAAAACTTTTAACTATTGGAAATTAATTTTCTGAATACAATACAATGTCAATGTGTCAGATCTGCTACTGAGAAATGAAACAATGAGCTCAGAGATTGGGTGGACTTGGTTCAGTGCTGAATGCAACATATTTAAGCACACAGTGCAAAACCGTCTAATGTCAAGGATGAATTTAAGGATCCGCGGCACCTAGAGACTATAATGGTGGATTCCTCCCTCCACTACGATAGGTGAAACACAGATAGTCAAAAAGTAGAAACAAAAGAAAGAAGTAGAAAGAAGCGGAAAGAAGTAGGAAGTAGATCCTAGGCAGGATAGTAAAGAAGTTGGAACAGTCACTTCTTTGATGTCAGCAGTCACCACCTGATTAATTAACCCTTCCTTCCTGGGTTTAATGGAAAGTTAAGCTTTAAGTTAAGCGTGTAGGGTAAGAAATAGGTTGAATGTTTTTAGTTTTATATTTTCACCAAAAACTAATAATTTTCAGGATAAAACTGAAGAAGAGATCGTTGTCGAAGGAGGCGGCGACGGATGAAGAGAAAGTGAGGTTGGCTCCGATGGCGGAACAGGAAGAGGATGATGGGAGGGTGACAATCAAGGTGGGGTCAGACCCCTAACACAAGGGATGATTCTGATTGTGAGTAGAGTCTGTTTGTCCCTCCAGAGCGCAGCAGCTTCTACCGCTTCGCCGCTGACGCTTGTTTGATGTCTCTTCTTCTGTCTCTTGGTTTCTGGTTTTGGAGGGTGTTTTGGGTACAGCTGTTCACAGCCTTTTCTTACACCATACCTTAAATAAACACTTCACCAATGAAAGAATTTTTCTTGGAAAGTTTTCATTATCCGTTTTTATTCCTGTAAGCATTCTTCATCTTAAAATAAGCATCAGTTTATGTAGTTTTTTGCTATTGACAATGATTATAAAGTTTTCTTAAAAAAAACCTAATGCCTGATGCACATAATTTAAATATGTATATAATTTGTATATAATTTGACTTAAAATTCCATATGAATAAGCTGAGATGAAAATCCAAATTGAACGTATGCAGCAGGCTTTTGGTTACAAATCATAACATCTAGAACTACTCTATGGTACAGGCTTAAACTGGAATTGTTCTTTGCTGTTAAGAGTATAGTTATTGATTTTATAAACATTTTAGATTCTGTTAAGTGTAATTCTTTGCAATGCAGCATATTAGTTTCATTAATATAATCCTAGTTTTATGATTATAATTTAGCTTTTTTGTTGTTTTATAGAAATTTGGTGATAGCTTCATTCATCCATTCTTAGAGTTTAAAAAATAAATCTAGTAAAAATACTGCAAACCATCAACATAAGATAAGATTGATGATTCCGAAACCATTTTCATTACACTATTTTCATTGCTAAATAATCATGTACCCCAAAATGACCGCAATTTATTCCCTCTAAAATAATTATCTACTTAAAGTTGCACTGTTCCTTTTTAGTCATGCTGATGTCAAAAATTTCCTATACTAAACCACTTTTAACTTTTATTTTCACCAGGGATGGTTCAGCTTTAGACCATAGTTAACAACTGTTTGATGAAAGTTATTTTGGTCGAATGAAAAAAACCCATCACATTCACTACCTTCAAAATACCTGAGATATGAGTGGCATGCCTGGTAGGAAATGCCGCAAGTAAAAATCACACATTTTGATAAAATATCAAATATTACAGGTTGACAAAGCGAGGAATCTAAAGACGTTGGAGCACAGAAATGACTTCTACTCGGACAACGGGAGCGAAACTACCGTCTGAGGTCACCAGGTGATTTAATGACACCAAAATAAGTGAGCTATTTTGTTGTACTATATTATAACGTAACTTTAAAAATAGAGTATTATTGTTATGTTTTAATGTAAAATAAAAATGAAAACCACTGTGTACTGATTATTATCCCTTTATTATTAATATTATAATTAAAAGAACTAATTTAAGCTAATTGGTATATAGATTTTAGTAAATAAACATAACTGATCTTACTAATATTATAAATGTGAAAGTTTGTGTGTTTGTTTGTTTGTTTGTTTGTTTGTTTGAAGTTCAATCACGCATAAACCACTGGACGGATTGGGCTGAAATTTGGCATGATGATAGCTTACATTCCCGATTAACATATAGGCATATTCTTATCTCAAAAATCCTTTCGGGCTCCGCCCCAGTGGCTCTGTAATTTCCCATGTTAACCTTATGAGTATTCATATTTAGGAATTAAAGAATTTAGTCAGCTGTTTCAACTAAAAAAGTTGGTTCTATGATATGGAAAAGCATTAAAAAGTTATAAGATTTACCAACAGGGTGCAGCACTATATTTTTTTTGCATTTATGAAAACAGCTAATTTGAACTAAGCAGCAACAAAAAACTGTGATTCGCAATGAGAACTGTCAAAGTAGGATTGTTAACAGTTATGTTTATGTTTTTCATTTCATGAATAATTTGTAATATTTTGCGAATTGTTGATAATTTATTTTTCTCTATTGTTTAGGTGAAGTGGTAGAACATTATGGCTATAGTAGATGTGTAATACTATAGAATACTGTAAATTTAAAAAAGCAAATTTTATCAAACTGTGTCCTCCCTTATTGCAAACGCATAGCTTGAGTATAACTGCAATAAGTATTTTATACTTATATTCCAACCCCGTACGAAGGACGGGTACTCTGCTAGTAGTTAAATAAATTTGTTATAAACCTATGTACACAGAAGGTCACAACAAGCTTATGAAAACTGAAATAAACTCATATACAACAATAGCGTGTGGAAAAACTACATTGTCCTAAAACTAGACTAATATTTTGCCATAATTCATGATTCGCAACCTAAATTGTGATTCATCAGTTCTAAAATTTTCTTGTAGTTTAGTTGGTAAATACCAACCAATGTTTTTGTCATTTCAACACTTTACAAATGTAAAGTGTTGAAATGACAAAAACATAAGCCTTTGAATTGCAAACTAAAAAGATTAAACTAAGCTTTGTGACAAATAAATGAATTAGTGAGAAATTTAACCTACTAGTTCTATTTATTCCAATGAGAAGTAAGGTAACACAGTATACCTAGTTTAACTGGAGTCTCTAGCTCTACATAGTCATAGGTGTCTTCAAAAGAATAATAAGAACCATTTATAATGATATACTATACCTTGCCCATTGTAAAACCATTTTTGTTGAAGAAAAAGTCCTTACAGTGCCACCAATATTTATTTTGGAATCTGCCCTCATAGTTAAGAAGAACCCGAACACGTTTCCTCAAAACAATACAAATACACAACTACTCATCAAGGAAAAAAAACAACATATATCTAGATCAAATCAATTCAAGTTTAGTAAAAGATGGGTCAAAGTTTTTATCAAGCAAAATCTACAACTCGGTCCCTGGTCCCCTTAAATATAAAAAAAACATTGAAGATAAAAATTAATTCAAGAGAAAATTCAAAGATCCTCTTAGTGTGGCATTTACTAAAGAGGCCATTTTATTCTTTTGAAGAATATCTGTGGGAAAAATAGGCCATAAATTGACGGCCACGGCGCAGCTGCGTTTGGGGGAGATCACCAAGTATCAAGTAAGTAATGTAGGTAAGTGTCTAGGGCAAAGTCCAATACCACTCTCCTCGCCTTCATGTACTGTGTTCATGGTGGAGGAAGACCCTGTGCCCTCTGTGTGATAGGAATTTCCATGATGTGCTTGCGGCTCTGGCTCTTCCTTGCTCTTCACAAGTATATTTTCGAAACATGCTAGAATACGACTACACTACTGGCCATGTTCTTCTGATAACTTTCTTCTTGGAGATAAAAAGAGTCAGAAAGTGATTGGTACTGGGTGAATCTATACAATTTGGTGAAAGATAAAAGCTGCAGTTTAGTAGGTGTATATCAAATACAAGGGTATGGTTAACAAAGAGATTGATGTAGAGATGTCTATTGGAACCCTTATATATGTAGGTACCGAACATTGTTACTACAGTATCTAACTATGGAATCCCAACCTTTAATGTAGATTTTGATTTATTGATTCTTTTCAATTGATATCATTCCTGATTTATGAATGGGTCATCAAGAAGGGCTCCACATATCTTAAGTGGGACAGTCACATTAGTTGTAATTATAAATAACAAATAATGTTATTTATCTGATGTAGGCTAGCTACAGAAGCTAGTCTTGAAGGAAATCCTCCAAAAGAATAGTTACTGTATATTTTGGCTGATTTTCATAGAAAAGATTTCATAAAGAAGATGTTCTGACTTAAATAGTTCATCACAATTCACAATATACGAAATAAACTCTACTGTGGCCAGCAAAAAGAGCCCACCTTTGCAACTGGAAACTGGAGTAACAATAGATATTATTGTAATATTATTACCAAGAAATATCAAGTAAGGGACCTCCACTCGACACTTAAGCGTTTTTGTGAATTAAACCCCCCCCCCCCTCTGACACAAACGGTTCCCTTACACTCAACACCTCCTAGAGCCTTTGCTACTTCCTTCACCACTTCCTACGTGGACCTGTTTCCTTCCCTTCATAGAGCATTTTAAGATTGCAGATACATTAATCTAACTGCCACAGGCGGTTCCCACACACCGCACTGCTGGCTTTTACTACTTCATTCACCACTTTCCTACGTCTTGGACCTGTCCCCTCCCTTCCCATATAGCATTTTAATATTTTAGATACATTAATATAACTGCCCCAACGCGTGCCCACACCCTGCCAGCACTGTAGTCTCTACTTCCTTCACCACTTCCAATAACGTGTTATAAACATTGAGTTATTATTATAGCTCAGTGGTTATAAAGATTGTATTGAAGTTGATCCCAAAGAGCTTCGCTTCGCTCCGCTCAATTAGGAGATAAAACGTAAATGTATGGATTATCTGATCATCTGATCATAGATAAAACATACTCCCTTAGTAGATTTCTCATCCTTATGGAACAGCTGAAGACAATTTTATTGTTAGCTCTGTACGGTTTTCTGTAGAGGTCGTGTTTTGTTTACAATTTGTTTCCCGTTATTACAGCCATTTAAAACCTCGTTTAGCCAAATAATACGATCTAATCATAAACAATAACTTGTCCCCTAGTTATATAACCAAACAGTAAAGCACAAATCAAGAAATTAACCCTAAAATAATAGAAACAAAGTTTCGTCGACACTAGCGCCCATGTGTCACGTACATGAACTAGACACGAAAAACGTGCTTCAAAATTTACAATGGGATGAGAAGTCTATCTGATCTAGGTTCGAAAAATATGAATAATCAATTGTTCTTTTTTCTTAAGAATGTTTTTAATTTTCATATATATCATATTAATATTTCAAATGTAATGGCCTTGCACATCAACCAATAGAATGTATGTGCCACTACCAATGCTACCAACCTTCACATCAAATAAAAAAAAAACATGAATTAAAAAAAGGCTGAATACACTGAACTCATTTCATTAGATAATTTCTACTATTGATATAATAAGAAATTATTAACAAATTACTTGTTTCCTTGAAGACCTGTAGCTCTATATTCTTAAAGTCTAAATAATATTTTGTAGTAATCCAATAAATTCAATTTGTTAGTCAAGCCACGTCTTTAGTTTTTTTCTTACCATAGGATACATACTGCATCACTGAATGAAACTTGAAACAGGTGTAGTGCCAAAATGGCGCCTTGCCGTGAGTGCGTATCTAGTGTCTCTTTATTTGTTTTCATTGGTTTGTGTTTATTTTGAATATTTCCCAGAAATATTTAGTTTAAATCATTTGTTTCTTTAGTTAACTTTAACGAAAGGTGTTATCGTGTGTGGATTACCCTATCGTTATTCTGGGTTATCGATAAGTGGAAGTCAGCTCACCTGTGATTACCGTTCAGTCTCCAACATCCCACCTGAGGAATATAATATTGAGTGTTAAACAGTTTTAGTGATGGAAAAGTGAATTTATCGTAATAATATAGGAAGTTTACGTTTGCACGTCAAATAGCCTAAGTGAAAATGAATTCGGTTTCAAATTGATATGCAAGTCAAGGCCTGATTTGTTATAATTAAGTTAATACCGCAGTTAAAAAAAGGGTACAGGTTATTGTATCTTAAAATTGGCTAGGCTTGTGTTCTTGGTTGTGTTAAGTGATAAGTTGTGTTATGTCAATCATCTTCTGAAACTACAATCATAATAGAGAAGGATGGCTTTTAATGAGGTAAGATTAATTTCCTTTTGAATTAGGCTAACCTAAGTGTAAGTTTACGGTAGGCTAACTTACCTAGACCTAGGCCTAGATTAAGTTTTAATCGGGGTTTGCATGATTGGGAAGGCCTGAGTTAATTAGTAGGCCTATTTAAGTTGCATGGCAAACCTCGATAATTTGGATAGGCCTAAGTAGGCTACAAACTTTCTCAAATCTTGGTGAATTATTTAGAGGGTGATGAAGCAGCTCTTAAAACCTAACCTTGGCCTAGCATACAGCGGATTAATGACAAAGTGAACTTTGATAGGGACGGACAAATAACTTGAGCGAACATAGAAACGCAGCGGAAGGGTCACCTGATTCGATGCTCAATTGGGCCACAAAATTAATGGCTAAGAAAATATTCAAACTTAGCCTTACTTAACTTAGGCTACTGTTAATTAAAGGGTGGATATGTAAGGGGCAATTATTTTGTATCTAGGGTAGGCCTAATTATTCCGTATAGGCTAGGTGCCTCCAAACAAATTTTTAATTTTGATATCTTACTTTATTGTTTTTTACCTCCTGAATCCAAATATTCCATTAGTTTTCACCGCTGATGAATATTTCTCATGATATCGCCATAGGTAATAATGCACAAAATTACAATAAACAAGGTAGGATGGATGACATTTACAAGTGGAATGAGCTATGGGTTAAGTAAGTTTTAGCAGGATAT